TCAGTAGTAGCTCCAATATACAAGAAAGGAGATAGGCATGATCCCATCAACTACCGACCTGTTAGTCTAACCAGCTGTATTTGCAAAATAATGGAAAAAGTCATCACAAAGGAACTAACAGACTTTATGACTGCTAATAAAGTGATACCAGATAACGACACGGATTTCTACCAAAGAGATCAGTCACTACAAGTGTCTACTAACCAGTCGATATTGTATACCTAGACTACGAGAAGGCCTTCGACAATGTTTCTCATGAAAAGCTATTGCATAAACTTGAACATCAGGGAGATCTCTTGAGATGGATCAGGGACTTCTTAATTGGAAGACAGTTCCAGGGTTGAGTAAATGGAAGGCTCTCAGAAAGTCACGCATCAGTGGAGAGTGATGTTGTTCAGGGCTCAGTACTGGGACCTCTGCTGTTCACAATATTTAGCAGTGATCTGAAGCAATTTCTAGCGAAGCACTTTCTTCTTTGCAAATGACGGAAAAGTTTTTGGCAACCCCTTGACTGACCAAAAAGCTTGGAAAAGATAGATAGCTAGTCTAAGAAATGGCAGCTCCCGCTGAATCACAACAAATGTACTGTCTTACACATAGGAGCTAACAATCCAAAACACATATACAAGCTTAACCAACAGCAGATAACACCAGTAACAGCGCAGACAGACCTTGGAGTAATAGTAACACAAGATTTAAAATAAGACGTGCATATATCGAATATCACAAAGAAAGCAAATTATATCATATTTCTAATAAAAAAAGCAATACACGACCAATCAGAAGAAATGATACTGAAACTATATTAAACGTATATTAGGCCGAAGTTAGAATTTGCACACTCAGTCTGGAATTCGTATTACATCAAAGACATAGAGATGCTCGAGCGGGTACAGAGAAAAGTCACAAAAATACCTGGGGCACTACAAACTAAACCATACCTGGAAAGACTAAAGAAACTGAGGCTTACAATACTCAGAGAAAGAAGGCAAAGAGGATATCTGATAGAAGCATATAATAGTATAGTCAATCTAGGCAGGTAACAAAGTGATCTCTGCGAAAATGAGTAGTCGATAGGGTCCTAATTAATCCCTCAAAAATCTCACTTTGTCGCATCGGTGGAACTTGAAAAAAAATGGCCGCCATCTTGATTTTTTTCGGATTTATTGAATATTTCGTGAAGTATGCATTATTTTTTTTTGTGGAGAATAAAAAGTTACTTATAATAAAAGAAATTTCAACACTATAAGCTGGAAAACAAAAAAGTTATTGGGAATTAATTTATTTAAAAATCTGGAAATTTTTGAACTTTAGGTATAATCGCGAAATGTATGGATTTTTCTAATAAAACTTAAGAATGCCTGTTAGTAGAGGATTAAAGATACCTATATTGAGATAAAAAAAACAACAGTAATTATCGAGAAGTTTGGTGTCAAAGGTTTAAAGCATGTTCTCAAGTTTCCAGTCTTTCTCTTTCAATACTGTGAAGGTTTAGTGATTTTTTTATAAACCTTAAAGTATAGAATTTAATTTATTTGAATTACTTAGTATCTATCCAGACAGTACACAGACATCTTAAAGACGTCCCTATAAGATGTCCACAAACGACATTCAGGACGTCTTTCAGACGTCGGCTTACGTCTTCAAGGCGTCTTGAAGACATCTTAAAAACGTCGTGTTACAAAACCCAACGTCTTTCAGACGTCTGCCTAAAGACGTCTTCAGAACTGATATTTTATTATTATTACTCATTTTATTTTTCAATTTTTGTCTATTCTAAACGCTAGGGTCTTAAATTATTGATTTCTTTAAACGGAAACATACGAAAAATTCATTTTGGTAGAAAACTATTTGAAGAGACAGGACTGAAAATTGAAAAACAAGTCAAGAGCCTGAAAGTCTAAAATACAGGAATTATGAGAATTCAAGAACATGGAAAAAAAAATCCAAGCCAAAAGAAAATTGAGAATTTAGGATAAAGAAGTAAGGAAAAATCAAGAGCCTGGAATAAAAAAAATTATAAAAATTCAAGAATTTGAATTGAAAGAGGAACATTTTCTTGTTAATATTTCATTATTATTTATTACTCATTTTATTTTTATTATTATTATTTATTAGGCTCTCTGGCACAATTCTGAGGTTTGTCTAGAGTGTTCCAAGTTGACTGGGTTCTGGAGCATTCTAGAAGTTTTTCAATAATTTCTAAATTGGGAAGTACGCTTCTTCGAAGGATCCATGTTAAATTTCAAAATGTTCATTTGACAGATTTTTAAGTATTCTAGAGCCCTATTGAAGTTCCAAAGTGAAGTTGAATTGATTTAAAAGCATTCTAAAAGGTTTCCAGTTCTAAATTGAATCGTTATTGTTCTAAAATATCTCTGAAGTTTCTAAATTGTTCCAAAATACTCCATTCTAATAATGGTTCTGAAGTTTTCAAAATGTTCTGAAGCGCTACACAATGCTGTTGGAAATTATGAGTTGAATTTTAAGTGTTTTGAACTTTCGAAAAGGCTTATTATTGAAGTTCTAAAGTGTTCTGTAGGATTCTAAATGGTTTCAAGTAACTTCTAAAATTAAATGAAAAACGAATTCTGGCGGCCATTTTTTTCCAAGTTCCACCAATGCGACAAAGTGCAATTTTTGAGGGATTAATAAGGACCCTATTGACTACTCATTTCCGCAGAGATCAATTTGCTACTAATTTTTTCTACCCCAACCCCCTATTTTGACTAGCCTATAAGTGGACCAGTTCATACTACAAAACTGATAATATCTATAGAATCAGCAACTCCAGGGTACTGAGAGGGCACTCAATAAAGCTAAGCAAAAAAAAGTGCCAGAAACTACAGAAGGAACTTTTTAAGTAATAGATAGGTGTACATATGGAACAATTTTAAGGAAGAAACAGTGACCACAGATACAGTGACAGCTAGTAGTGTGAACACATTCAAAAATACACTGGACAGAGAAATAGCTAATGGAAAAAACCAACTAGAACATTATGCAATTATGGACCTTAGATTATTTATGAACAATAAACAAAATGCAGTGTCAGTGTTACGTATAGATTTCTCATTGTTAAATGAAAGAACAGTTTCATCGGCTATGCCGCTTACCTGTTCTGACCTATAATAATAAATAATAAATAAAACATGCCTTCCAACCAGGTAAATAACGCAAATCAGCACCAACTAGTGACAAGAGTAGAGAACTCACTAGAAAACAAGGAAATCGCACTAGTGGCATTCCTTGACATAGAAGGAGCCTTTGACCACACCTCTTTCAACTTCATAGTCAGAACTGCTGGGCAATATGCAATTAATGATACTACATGCAGATGAATCAAAACAGACTTGATCGCCTCCAGTCTATTCCAAAAAACCTTAGAATTTGGTAGGGAAGCTAAATTTCTAGGCGTCATCCTATATATGAAATTGACATGGAACCAACACATTTAAAAGATAACCATCAAAAGCAAAATGACGTTGATGTCACTAAAAAGAGCGATTGGGAAAACACCAAAACCGTCAGTCATACACTGGATATACACTACGGTTGTAAGACCAATGATAACATATGGTGCACTTGTATGGTGGCCTAAAGTAAGCTTAAGACAAGCAAACCTGGAACTAGCCGAAATTCAGAGAATTACATGTCTTTGTCAGAAAAACACACCAACGGCAAGTATGGAAACGATCCTAAACCTCTCACCAAATGACCTTATCGTCAAAGCGGAGGCTAGAATCAGGGCATATCGTGTCCAGCTGAACGAAATCTGGAACCCAAAACCAAATAAACATACGGCAATCACCAAAATAATCACAAACCCATTTTAAACAATGGGTAGCGACTATATGATGCTGAAAAAATTCCTCGAAAAACCCTTCGCCATCGAAATTGTCCCAATGGGAAATACCGGGGCAACACCTAAACAAGACATTGTCTGGTTAACTGAGGGCTCCAAAATAGAAACTTGTACCGGCACTGGAATATATGGACAAACTCCCAGATACGACATCAGTCAATCTTTGGGAGAATATACTACTGTATTCCAAGCAGAAATATATGCCATTGAATCCTGTCTGAGGGAAAACCTAAGGAGGGAACACAGGTATAAAAACATCCTTATCTGCTCAGACAGTCAAGCGTCGATTAAAGCACTTAACAGCTTTGAAATAAAATCCAAACTTATCTTGGAAAACCCTTAAAACCTAAGTATGGCCAACAAGGTAATCCTTAAATAGATACCAGAAAATAAAGGAATTGAAGGAAATGAAAAAGCAGATGCTCTGGCAAGAGAAGGATCAGTAACCAATTATGCTGGTCCTGAATAATGGGTGTATAGACAACACCAAACCTACTGGCAAACTCTTCCGAAGCTCAGACACAGTAAGCTAATGGTACAACAACCATAACCTAAACTTACTGAAGAGATCTTACAACTAAACAGGAATCAAATCAGGCTAATAACTGGAGAATGCAGACTGAGAAAACACCTTCACACAATGGGCTTCCTCCAAGAAGAAGCCAGATTTTGTGACGAAGAGGATGAAACCGCCACCCACATAATCTTCGAATGTGAGGCTTTACGCTGGTGGAGATACAGACAACTAGAGCCAGAAGACTCTATCTCTAAACTCACCAACCTGGCCTGTTCACTCTGCATTTCAACCAACCAATCAACCCTCTTATTATTTTTTTTCTGTGGAAGATTTGACTCAATAGGCACACAATTCGCATATTTGAAAGCCATTTTAGGAAATAAATCAGACTTTCTTTTTGAACGATTCAACTATCTACCTATAGAAACTTTTCTGTGAAAACATTTTATCTGTAATCCAAGAAAGTTTTCCAATGAAAACCGTTCTTAAGTTTTCTTTCAGGTCATAACATTTTTCAGGCTAACAAGACAACTTTGTTGTTCTTTGAAAGTGGCTGAAAGAAAAGTTATATAGACTATAGTTGCCAATTATTAGCGCTGCAAATAAATAAATCACTCATACAATATACAACTTTTTATTAATCTTTTTAGAATGATTCACCTTGAGGTACTACAATCAATTCCTTAACATTAACATGATCAGGCGTTGCCAAAATATACAAAATAGCATCGGCAATATCTTCCGATTGCATTACTTTCCGATTCGAATCCGCCTTAGGTTGCGGACCAAACGCCGCGTCAACAAATTCAGTTTCAACAGCCCCAGGACTCAAACTTGTAATCTTAATTGGCAATTTTTCCCTGTTGATTTCCAACCTTACAGTTTCGGTTAATGCTGTTAGTGCGTGCTTGGAGGCTGGATACAAACTCAACAAAGGGTGATCTATAACTTGATGCCCTGCAAAGCTGTTCATATTTATTATGTGCCCTTTGGTGTTGTGCTTCTTCATGTCGGCTACAGCTTGTCTGATGCAAATTGCTACAGCAAGGACGTTGGTGTCCAAAACTGGCTTCCACTTCTCAATATCACCATCGATGATGTTTGATGGAAAAAGCATACCAGCGTTGTTAATCAACACATGAATTGATCCAAGTTCTGAAGCGATTTTTTCAAAGGTTGATATAATTTGATCTTGCTGGGTCAAATCACATTGATAAGGATGAAGGGTGCCTTTTTCTCCATTGAGTTTTTGAGCGTGCTCTTCTATGCGGGTAACTCTACGTGCTATTCCTGCCACTATTAGACCTTGTTTCACTAAAAGTTCCACTGTAGCTTTTCCAATGCCGGCACTGGCACCTGTAACTACGGCTACTTTGCCCGATAAACGTTCAAGCGTTAAAGAGTACGACATTTTAGTACCAAAATAGAACCAAAACTGATTATTTATTGTCGCATATTATTGCATAAGTGAATCAGGTTTGTTACAGTAATAACGCGAAGCGATTCTGACTTGTTTTTAATCGATTTTATAACTAAAAGTGATGGGACTTGTATTGGAATTGTTGTTGAAACGCAGCTACTAATAGCATTTTGCTGATAGGATGTTTTTTTTTTGCGGTGACATTATCGAATTTAATCTTATGAAATACATATTTGATATATAATCACAATGTATAAATAGAGTGTCCAACTAATTTTAATTTAATTTGTTTTTGTAGGCTGTGAATTGATATAAGTAGTTAATCCAAAAGAAATTACGTACCTAATCTGACTGTATAAATTTGTTGACTGCATTGAATCTTGATAAGAATTTATTAAATGGTTTGTGGTGTTTGGAATTTAATTTTTCAATGTTTTTTTTTTGGTTGTTATTCAGTATGCAGCTGATAAGAGATTAAAGTTTGATCATACTCACTTTTCAATGCGTAGAAAATTCTAATACATAAATCAATAGGTACCTACATACTACAGAAAAAGTTGTTTGTTCATCTTGAGCTTTTCTGGTTTTTTCCACTTTTTTCCGTTGATGAATAGCAAAAGCACATAGAATAGATGAAGCCGTGGAGAATTTCACTGGGGATATTTGGTGTACATGGTCAGGAATATTCAGAAATAACCGAGGAATAACGAAGACAACCAAGGGATAACCAATGGATAACCGGGAATAACCAAATGATAATCGAGTATAACCAGGGGATAACTGAACAGATGCAAACATACTAAAGATTAAATTTGACAATGTTAGACAGAGAGGATAACAAGGGATAACTGGGGATGACTAGGGTTAACCGGAAAAAACTAGGAATAACTAGGGATAACCAGGAATGACTAGGGATAGAAAGGGATAATTTGAAGTAGGAAGTTTGGTGTACACAATTTTGCAATCGGAACAACCCCCGAGAGGATATTTCGTGTACATGGCCAGGAATAACCGGAGATAATTTGGGATTCTAGGGATGACCCTGTATAACCGAGGATGACCAGTGATAACCGAGGAAAGCCAGGGATAACCAAGGGATGACAGAGAATAAACGATGGATAACCGGGTATAACCAGAACCTAGAAAAATGCAAACATATAGGTTTTTTATGTTATATTTAGGATGACGTCATTGAACAAGAATAGACAATGTTGTCAATGCCCATTTTTTTTTCTTATAATTTTCCAGAAAGTCATGTGTCAATAATTCTGACGGACAGCTGAAAATAACGAAATGAAAATGTTTATACAAATCATGCAACGTCGTGCGCCGTTGCCAACCAAAAACATCTGAAATTCTTCTACTTTAAATGCCTTAGAAAGTACTTTTAGTTTTGTTAGGTTGGCAGCTAAAATTTACTAAATGTGACGTCATCCTAAATAACCAGAGATAACCAGGGATAACTGGAGATGACCAGGGTTAACCAGGAAAAACTAGGAATAACTAGGGATAACCAGGAATGACTAGGGATAACTGGGGATAAACAGGGATAATTTGAAGTAGGAAGGAAGTTTGGTGTACACAATTTTGCAATCGGAACAACCCCCGAGGGGATATTTCGTGTACATGGCCAGGAATAACCGGAGATAATTTGGGATTCTGGGGATAACCCGGTATAACCGAGGATGACCGGTGATAACCGAGGAAAGACGGGGATAACCGAGGTATAACCGAGAATAAACGAAGGGTAACCGGGTATAACCAGAACCTGGAAAAATGCAAACATATAGGTTTTTTATGTTACATTTAGGATGACGTCATTGAACAAAAATAGACAATGTTGTCAATGCCCATTTTTTGTCCTATAACTTTCCAGAAAGTCATGTGTCAATAATTCTGACGACAGCTGAAAATAACGAAAGAAAATGTTTATACAAGTCATGCAACGTCGCGCGCCGTTGCTAACCAAAAACATCTGAAATTCCCCTACTTTAAATGCCTTAAAAAGTACTTTTAGCTTTGTTAGGTTGGCAGCTAAAATGTACTAAATGTGACGTCATCCTAAATATAACGTAATAATCCTATAGGTACTAAACTTAGAAAATTACATTTGTCAACGTTGGACAGGTGGGATAACCAGAGATAACCAGGGATAACCAGGGATAACTGGGGATGACCAGGGTTAACCAGGAAAAACTAGGAATAACTAGGGATAACCAGGAATGACTAGGGATAACTGGGGATAAACAGGGATAATTTGAAGTAGGAAGAAAGTTTGGTGTACATACACAATTTTGCAATCGGAACAACCCCCGAGGGGATATTTCGTGTACATGGCCAGAAATAACCGGAGATAATTTGGAATTCTGGGGATAACCCGGTATAACCGAGGATGACCAGTGATAACCGAGGAAAGCCAGGGATAACCAAGGGATAACCGAGAATAAACGATGGATAACCGGGTATAACCAGAACCTAGAAAAATGCAAACATATAGGTTTTTTTATGTTATATTTAGGATGACGCCATTGAACAAGAATAGACAATGTTGTCAATGCCCATTTTTTTTCTTATAATTTTTCAGAAAGTCATGTGTCAATAATTCTGACGACAGCTGAAAATGACGAAATGAAAATGTTTATACAAGTCATGCAACGTCCCGCGCCGTTGCCAACCAAAAACATCTGGAATTCCCCTACTTTAAATGTCTTAAAAAGTACTTTTAGTTTTGTTAGGTTGGCAGCTAAAATTTACTAAATGTGACGTCATCCTAAATATAGCGTAAAAATCCTATAGGTGCTAAACTTGGAAAATTACATTTGTCAACGTTGGACAGGGGGGATAACCAGAGATAACCAGGGATAACTGGGGATGACCAGGGTTAACTAGGAAAAACTAGGAATAACTAGGGATGACCAGGAATTACTAGGGACAACTGGGGATAAACAGGGATAATTTGAAGTAGGAAGGAAGTTTGGTGTACACAATTTTGCAATCGGAACAACCCTTGTTGAGGGGATATTTCGTGTACGTGGCCAGGAATAATCGTAGATAATTTGAGATTCTGAGGATAATCCGGTATAACCGAGGATGACCAGTGATAACCGAAGAAAGCCAGAGATAACCAAGGGATAATCAAGAAAAAAAAGAGTTATGGCAAGCAGGATTTATTCTGGATATCAAAATGAATGTTTTCCATAACTCAATGAAATGTACATGGGGCATTTTTGAGACCAAATGGTAGGTATACGAACAAACTCATAACGGCCATATATGCATATGGGATTTCACTGGGGATATTTGGTGTACATGGCTAGGGATAACCGGGGATAACTTGAAGTAACCCGGAAAAAAACCGAAGAAAGCCAGAAATAACCAAGGAATAACCGAAGGATAACCGGGGATAGCCAAATAATAGCCAGGGATAACCAGGGGATACCTGGAAAAATGCAAACATACTAAACTTAGAAAATTACATTTGTCAACGTTGGACAGGAGGGATAACCATCAGGGATAACTATAGTGATAACCAGAGATGACCAAGGATAAACAGGAATAACTTGAAGTAGAAAGGAACTCACCATTACTTTTACCTATTGAGTTTTTTTTTCCTTTTCCAAAAATTAAATTTCCAAATTTTCATTGCTTGCTCGATAAATCTAGAAAAAAAAACTTTCGGAAAACAACATTATATATTTTCCGGCAATGGATGGCTATCTTTTTATACGAATTTTGTTTTGCTCGCAGAAGCGGACATTTTTATTATGCTCGTTATTCGGGAAACGAATGTATACAAATTGTTTCCATTTTTCATTCGATAAATAATCAAATTGAAAATGAGCAGCCGAGAACATTCTATCAAATCAGCATATCAAAAAAAACTTTTATACATTTCCTATTTGTCAATAAAACTCTTTCCAGCAGAGAATATTTCTTGTATAAGACTCAAAGTTGACCTCCTAAATATGTTTTCCTAAAAGGATTGCCAGGCACAATATCATGTTTGAAAATTGATCTGATGGTGCACTTTTTGAATGAAAGAAAAGCGAATTTTTATAAGAGCTTTTGCTAGGAGTAATTAGTATACCTACGACAATCGGATAGTTCGATTTTCGTTTCAAAAATGTTTCACAGCTATCCAGCTTAATATAAAAATGTCCATGTACACATAACTTCATAAACATTCTTGTTCGAAACCAAAAACCCTTTTGTCACGACAGCATAGGCCCTTGTTTTCCTATATCAGGCTCTAACCAAAAGGCTAAAATTAGTTAAGCCAGATCCTACGCTCTACTGTTTATGGAATCCGAGAGAACGCAAATTCAATCCCTGATGCTCCATTCTATTTTATAAATAAATTTATATTCTAAAGCTAGCGATGTAGCATGCTGGTTTTACATCAATTTGCTTTATCATCTCGAGAATGGTTGGCAAAGCAAGAGATTTGTAAATAAAGCAAAAACGGGCTTCCAATTATTGGGCTGGCAGATAAACTTGACAATGAAAAATAGCAATAACATTTAGGCTAAACGTTCTTTAATCCAATCTTGATCCAGACAATTTCTTTCCGTACTTACTTCATCATCAATCCAAATTTAATATTATAAATACCTATATTTCCCAAGAATGAAAAAATAATTCCTCTTGCATGATGGAGGGCCTAAAAAGCCCGCGTGTAGGTATATGATTTGCCTTGCAAAAAAGCTTTTTGGTGTGTTGTATGTTGGCAGAAGAAAATTTATTTTTCATTCTACTTTTACGCTTCCATATAGTTCAGCACGAGGTAAAAGTTTTATATATGTTTTGCCTTTGTGGAATCATCATTTTGAAATTGTCTTTTCAGAGGCTAAAACTAACACTAGTGATTGTATAAAAGCAGAAAATTGCCATTTCCAACAAATTTTTTAAAGTGGCCATATTGTTTGATGTAGAAATATTTTCTGTAAACATGAAATATTGTCGTAAATTGGAATGGAATTTCTTTCTGACATTGCAATAGTTTGAGTGGAATATAAAAGCAGAAAAATTCATGAGAAAATTCTGGATCCGGACCAAATCTTGTTAGCTAAAAAGAGAAAACTTCAAACCAAATTTGAAGCAAATTGAAATCGGGCTCAATCAGTCCTAAAATATCCAAATTTTTGCTGAACTAAATTTAATTTTACTGTAGGCAAGGCCCAGAACTCTATAGACATCCCAATAAAAAAATATTTCATTCTTGTAATTATACCAGCTCCTAGTAAATTGACTCATCTAAATGTAAATAGGGTGCATTCACCACTTAAAATATTCATAGTCAAACTCAACAATTTGCCTTTGATTCAAAGTATAGCAA